CCCCTAGGTGGATCCTCTATATCCACCAACCCGGTTAAAGCGCTAGACATTCGCTTTTCGCCCTCTCAATTTAGTAAACAACACCCTCGCCACAAGAAGGCAGTGAGTAGGACTTCCCTGGTAGTGGTTGTATACACGTGGCCATGTGAGAGCATTTGAAGAGAGAGAGAGAGCTGACTCTCCCCACTCTCAGCCGTACCAGGGCGTTTGGGGGTAGAATTTGTGATAAGTGAATGAAAATACCCTACAATCACAAGAGCAGCCTTGAATATACCCTGAATTATGCTACGCACGCTAAGATAACAACTGGTTATAGAGTATGTATTTCTAATAAGTTAGCTTACTTATTATGTCAAATTCACTGAATGATCGCATAGCAGTTATTCTTAGCAAGTTTAAGCACTTTAAAAACTAATTATAGGCAAATGTTACGTATCTGGGAACTGTCATTACTAACTTATTAGGTATTGATTGGATAGATAAATTTGGTTTGTGGGATCTGCCGTTGAATACACCGAAAGTAGAATCCCAGCCATGGCTAGAGTCGAACAAGCCTTAGGTCCGAGTACACATCGATTAGGCTGGACCAATAAACGGACAATATTTTCTCGCGGTGATAGATTCATACTCTAAATGGCCTGAAATCTTTGCTGTACGAAGACCGTCCACATCTGGAACACTGTTACATCTCAGACAACTATTTGATAGGTTTGGAACGCCTAATGTTTTGGTTTCAGATAACGGAACGCAATTTACGCCGTCAATGTTTGCGGAGTTCTGCAAACAAAATGGAATCGAACATATTAGAATCCCACCGTATAATCTGCAGGCAAATGGGCAAGTAGAAAAACGTGTTGATATTCGTAAGCGAGTTCCCTTGAAGATGGGGGAGAAGATAACGTAGAAGAGGCTCTGCAACAGTTTTAAATCTCTTATAGAATTATATCTAGTCCGACCTGTCAAGATAGAAGATCACTAGCCGAAATAATATTTGGCCGACCAATTAGGACAGCTTCTTGATGTTTTGAACCCGAAAGACAGAACGAGTGAACTACAAAACAATAAGAAAGGGAATCGCCCGAAGATTCGAGAATTTAAAGCACGTGATTTCTGGTCAGGAAAGACAAAATGGGTACTCGAGTGCATAAAAAAAGACGTGGGAAGGTATTGTATGAAGCGATTGTTGAAAATACAATAAATATTAGACATATAAATCAATTACGAGATAGAAAAAGTGTTAGGAAGTCATCCAAACCCGAAATTTTGCCACCATCATAAGTTGAAATGAGAAGAAATCAAAAGCTAGCCGAAATTCAGTAAGAGAACGGAGACAAACTAGATTATTTTAAAAATAGACCCAAAAGTGAAGTTATACGATCATATTTCTCGGGAACGAGAATGACAATGATTGGTTGTTCGCTTAGTCAGACTAGTAGATAGTCTGACAGGAGTTAGATGAGTTATCTATTATCTAATCTTTATTATTATTGTGATTTTGTTGAATTGTATCGGATTGTTGTCAGGTTTTGGTACGTTCTAGTTAGGCTAGTCACGTGTTCTTTGATCTGAGTTGAGTTGAAGTCCCGTAGAATGAACACTGAGAGGGAATCTAGTATAGATATTGGTCTAAAGCAAATTAACGTCCCATTCGTAAAGACGAAGAAAATCCGAGTGCTATAACATGAATTGTCATTTTAAAAGCTATAAAGATTAATTTTATGGAGTTTTAAAAGCGTTCGTTTTATGGAACCAATTTAACCTGCTTCCTCGATAGCAAGTAAACTTGTGGTTGAGCAGTGTTGTATGTAATATCGTCAGACAGAAAATATTCACTGAATAGCCTGTAATTGTTTCAAAATTAATAGTCTATAGTAAAACAGAATGTCGTTGAATATTTAAAATCTTAAAGTGTATCTTGCCATGAATTGTTTACGAAAATCAGATATTGAAAAGATGTCATGTAATAATCGGCTAGTGAAAAATGGTAAAGTGAAGATAGTAGTCTATTTAATATCTAGGACGAACAGAATAATTAAAAGTTATAGTAATGGCTACCTAGTAGTAGCGAAAAGAATTAGATGTGATTAGAAAGAGTAATTAAGAAGACGATAGATTATGGAGGATAGAAAGGTTAAGACCATGGAAGAATACGGGACTGAATATGTTGTTTTTGTACGCAAATATTAAGTTCAAACTGACGGATAGCAATAGCCTCTGGTGTACATAATTTTTGATTCGCATTCCTCTTGAGCCGATTTTCCTGATTGCATGTATAATTTTGATGAAGGCTTCTGGTGTAATGGACTGACCAGAATTGAGTAGATGCTACAATACTGAGCTTTTGACTGACTCCTGTAATCCTTAGGGAAGCTCCCGCGTTCAGTTAGATCAGTGTGTATTTATCAGTCCACTTACCCATATGTACCAGATTATATTGGCCACAAAAAGGAAGGCCTTTCGAAATGCACTTCCGAGAATTACTACGCCTACGTAACTATAAATACGATTGTACAGCTTAAGTAAATGAAATCGTCAAAAGTAAAATTTCATTCGCTGAGTTTACTTCTTTTTCAATGACACAGTGGTTCACCTTCGTTATTTTTGAGTTTATTTTGTGAAGATTTAATAACTACAATGGTAATGTATTTGCCACAAAACAAAAAAGTTGGCAAATTTAGTGGGAAACAATTTAACAATTTTCAATTCTTTTTTCAGTGGTTCCTTCGTTACTTCACCAATTCATTACAGTCTATATATTGAATATTCGATTTTTTTTCAAAATTTTCCCTATAGCATCAGTTACAGTACTAATCATTGTTGCAGTTTCAGTGTTATAAATGTATCACTGGTAATGAGATTGATCAGAAGGAGTAAACTTCATCTAATTTAATCAGCTTATTGTCATCTAACTGGATATCTGGATGAAGATATGTAAAATTCTTGTTTTACGATCATATTATTCATTAGTAATCATTGTTCATTCCAATTTTTTATACTTCATTGATTAAATTAATAATCGATAAACTACCTGTGCCCTTATTGGTTGGAATTCATTTTATTTATGTATGTATTTATACAAATATAATTGAGGAACCAAGACAATGTTCTGACTCAGATAGATCTAGGGTGCTTCATTCAAGTAAATTCAACGGTTTTTCTAGCGAATCTGATGACATATGTGCATGTATCAATTGAATAAGGACGATTAATTGAGTGTTTTGTAGTAACCTCACTTCAAACCAGTAAACTGTGTGTAATGAATCTTTTGAGGTCATTATGAAAATGGTTGAGGATAGGCATTTGATAGCTTGCAAACTCCTATCGAATGTTATAGCATCAGATATTAATCATCCACTCCATTCATATATTTCCCTTTGTATTTCTTCCACTAGGACGAGATGCCTATAAATCAGAGTCCATGTACACAAACAAAGGTATAAAAGCTCTACAACAGCCTATCTAACAAATATTTTATGCGACGAACAGGTTGTAAGTGCTGGCCTAGTCAATAACTTACATTCCTTAACATGTTTCTAACTGAACGTTATACAGATTCTTGTCCTATTAAGAAACATGTCATTTAATTTCAGTTAAGATTAAGAGAAACTTTTTGAAACATGTTCTGAGAATTCCATATTATACCAAACATATAATATCGAACCAAGGCATTAGTAATAATAATAATAACACAACAATATTTTAATGTGTTTGCCAGGTACATGTGTCTATATATATATATACTTACTATCTTCTCTATCTTTTATTTATCAAACTCCGAGGTTAAGAATCAGATTATCGATATAGTAAAATGAGAAGAGGGAAAGAAAAGAAGACTTGGAAGTCTATTTCATTTCTTTATTTTGGTATAACACAACCTTCAGAAGACAAAGCTGAAATTACCAACATCTAAATGACGTCAATTTTTTGATAAAATACAAATATATATATATATATATATACACTTTTTATCATGAACATTTTATAATAAGAGAAAATTGATCCGTATTATGAATACATTCAATTTACTTCCGTTTGTTTAAATATAGAAGCGATAATATTTATAGTAGAATAATATAAATTCATTTATTTCATGAATTCTTTCCAGATGATTACAATCTACAAACAAGGTTATTAATTGTCAAGGCAACAACACAGATACATATACTCTATGTCAGAATGATGTTGAATAAAGTTGGATTTGATATTTATTTTAGTAAATAATCGATGATTGCTGAAGAACCATTTAAACATTAATTTATTTGTAAGTTAAATATGTAAATATTCTAAGAGGAAAAACTGTGAATAGCATAGAAGAAGTTCTAAGGGAGAAACAGCAATGTTATTATATCTTATCCACAATATTAAATATATCCCTCCAAAAAGAAGTTTTAGACTGGTTTTCAGAAGAACTGGACATCATTCGGGTATTTTACAACTACATAAGTACTGGATATCCAAATAGATCAGTTGAATCTTTCATTTCTAGAAGTTCTGTTTCCTTACTCTTCTCGATTTTCTCTTCGAGAATATCTATATAGGTAACTTACAAATAAATTAGTGTTTGAATGGTTCTTCAGCAATCATTGATTATTTACTAAAATAAATATCAAATCCAACTTTATTCAACATCATTCTGACATAGAGTATATGTATCTGTGTTGTTACCTTGACAATTAATAACCTTATTTATAGATTGTAATCATCTGGAAAGAATTCATGAAATAAATAAATTCATATTATTCTACTACAAATATTGTTGCTTGTATATTCAAATTTATTATTGGCAAAAACCGTATGAACTAGTTACCTTGAGTTAGTTTGTAAGCTGTATAACATTGGAATTGTCGTTGTATTCTCATTTTGTGAATGAAAATGACAAAATTCTAGAGAGAAAATTACTGACGGAAATAGAATCAGTAATAGAATGACAACAAATATTCCTGTTTCTCTATGAATGTAGTGATGATACAAGTCTTTTGATACATATATATTAATTACTATCACAGGGTTTCAATTAATTGTGTACGAAAAATAGACTTTTGTTCATTTTTATCTACTAATACATTCGATGTTGATTTCGATGATGTTATAAACCAGTTTTTATCATTTGATATGAAATGTTTTCTATCATTATCATTTGTCGATATGTCAATAAGTAATGCATCATTCTCTGGTATGGATATAGTTGAATTTTTTCCAATAGTATTAATGGTAGAATTATTTGGTGTTATTGGTGATTGAACTGTTACATCAGTTGTGTTTAATTGATTTGTTACAATTTGTATCATTCTATTATCATTGAGTTTGAAATGATCGTCTGTAGTATTATTGTTGTTTTTATCAAGTTTTTCATTTTCATTATCAATAGGATAAATAGAAGTACATGACTTTTGTTCAAATTCTTTAAGTAAAGGACTTTTTATTTCGAAATAACAACTAGGATTTTTACCCTGTAATTGATTATTATTATTATTATCCATTTGAGTATATTCTGGTATATGATGTCTAAAATGCATAAGACTGGATTCTGTTAATGATATACTTATAGGTTTAATAAAATTATTATTATTGAATTCATCATTATGTGAATCCAATGAAGTTAACTGGATTGAATTAGGGCTTTCCTGTACACTATTCTGGTGAATCCCATCATTTATATTATTACTATTATTATTAGAGTCAGTGTTATTATTAAGTGCAGGTGTATTAACGATGTTATTAGTAGTAGTTATTATTGTTGCTGTATTCGTTGTACTACTTGTAGTAGTAGTAGTAGTGTCATCTTTAAAAGAAACAGTCCTTTTATTTTCAATGATTGGATTAGGGAGAATAGTTTCTGAATTCTTTTGAATTTTTATAGTATTTGTAGGTGATTCATTATTGTTATTATTACTATGATTAATATCATTTGTAATGTCAGCATTATTACTATAAGTGGCAGGTTTTATGGTAGAATTTAGCATGTTATCTTTTTCAATTATTATTGTATTATCAGTTTCAATATTTTTCAGTGTATTCTCCCAATCTTCTAATTGTTGTTTAGATATATTCATTTCATTATCCTCTTTAACTTCAGAAGGAATATTCAATTTGATATTCTTATCTTTCATTTTTCCTAACTTATCTGATGTTGATGATGATGACGATTTATAACAAGTGGATAATGATAATGGTGAAGATGATACAATTTTATTATAATTACAAGGTTCTTGTTTTCGAATTGACGTTTTCTTTGAAGAATTAGAACGGCAATGATAATGAATATGTTGATTTTGAACATGTTCATGTGGCAAATGATGGTGATGATGATGATGCTGATGATGTGAATGTGGATGTGGATGGTGATGATGATGTTGATGTTGATAGTAATGATGATGGTGATGATGATGATGGTGATAATGAGGGTGTGAATAATGACAGAAATGGGGTACTTTATTAGAGTTTAATAAATTATTTTCTTCTTCATCATCATTATCATCATCATGAATATCACCTACTTTTTTATGTCCAACTAATAATAATTCACCTTTTTGATTTAAATACATTTTTCTTTCAGATTGTTTTATTTTATAGGCACGTGATTTCAAAATAGAAAATATCATAATAGATAAAAGTAATGCTATAACAATCCCTATTAAACTGCATAAAACTGCTGTCCAATGTAAAAATCGAGTAAATGTTACTTGACATTTCATTTCAGCAACATATTCATTATTTAATTTTGGAATATTAAGTGATGATTGTTGTCGATGTGATCGACTTAGAAATGAAATATTTTTATAAGTTATCATTGGATTATTGATTTTCTGTTTATATTGTAAATTATCAGATATATTATTTACAATATTTGTTTTGTTCTGATGATGACTAGATGATTTAAATGTTGGTGTTAATGTCGCTATTGTTCCATTACTCTGAACATACAATGATGGTGATGATGATGATGATGATAATATTGAAGAACCAATAAATCTTTTACGAGTAACACGAAAGCATATTAAGTACTTTGTATCAGGATGAAGATTAGTTAAATCAAATTCTTTAATTTGATAGTCTTGTATTATTTCTTGACCGATTAGATCAACATCCAGATCATTGTAATATAGAATCTGATGGATAAAGAAAAAGAAAGGTGAGGGAAATGAAGCAAAGCAAATTATTTCTATTTGTAAGGATTTGAATCCCTTGGTTATATACATTAATATTGAAAACGACAAAGTTTATATTTTTATAAATTTATCTCCATGTCGTACAAGCTAGTAGTTAGCTAAACTCAGTGATTTGGAGTGGATAATGCGTAGGATGCTTGAAGTGATACACCTAGTTGTCGGATTCCGAATCGAACAAAACGCACGTCGTGGATTCAGCTTTACTTAAAGCAAAATAGTTTACAAAGTTACAAGAACTACATATGACTGACAAACAAATTAATTTTACTTTCTATGTAACATTAATTTTTGTTACCACTTGACATTAGTTGGAGAAACACTGAAAAACAGAAGTCTTCAGATAGATGTTTCGAAGTAGTAATGTGGTTGTAGAAATAGCGTAATCACTTTAATAACTGTATTTGGCTCCAAACTTAATTAGTCCACATAACTTCGTAGAATAAAACGACTAGAGCATCTTAGCTACGTTTACTGCCCACTATGTTCCATAGAAACCGCAATAGTATTTTTTAGGGAATATAATATTGCGAGAACGCTAATCGGCAAACCGCACTAGGGGCAAAGGAAGTAAATTATATGTGGTGTGGTGTAAATTACACTATGGGTGGAACTATAATCTGCAAACAAACCGATTTGATGAGAATTTTTGTGTTTTGTTCACTTATCCGTATAGCCGAATAGCGTTCTGGAATTATAGCTGATGTCAGTTCGTAATGAGAAACCGAACAGTACTTCCTAACGTTAAAACGTTTTGAGGAATTCGTTGACTTACGATCTAATGGAAGACAAAGTTTGAATGCACCTTTACACCTTTGCGAGCAATTTTGGGCCATGTCCCTCAGTTCTTAACCATTGGTTACAATGATGACATCATGACTTTGATTGAAAGTCTTTGACAATCGCATTATGATTGGATAATTCATTCTAGTACTTTTACTAATCCCTTTTATTGAGATCATGAACCGGTCAATGTTAGACCACCCTTGAAAACCTGGAAGCGCAAGACTACCATTTCGTCTTAGTATGGGACTTCCTAGATCTATCCGAAGTTATGTAAGGAAGATCTCCCTCTTCGTCCGATAATGGATACGAATAATTCCTCAGACCACCTACATTCCACATGGCTTGTGAAAATTCTACAACCGGTACGATTGATAACCTAACTCAAACTCACCCCTATCGTCAGGTATGGTATTAACCTGCGATACGAACCAAGTCACTCACACGGTTATTAACTAACTAACTCGCCCGACATCTGATTAGAGTAGTAAGTCTTAATGAAAAGAAAATTGTATGGAAAGTTCCTAATTCATAATATTTTGTTTTTATTGGTGAACTAAATAACTAACATGACACGAATGTGGGCGTTGACCTTTGGACTAATAACTAAGCTACATCGAACTATATCCTTACACTCTTGTTGAGTTCGACCTGGAGGTGCTGCTTAATTCAAACAGATTTCATAGACGAGGATATTTATCTATCTTAAATGTCCTGTAACTGAGAAATCTAGCGTTTTGGAGAGTTTTCCCGCTTATTTGGTTGTTCAGTGACCAATACAAGAGCATGATCTTCGCAAGGGATTTCATTCCAATAATCTAAAGCTGTTTAAATGTCTTCAGTGAACATGACATTGTAGTGCATTCCAGATTTTAAGATGTGAAAAGCAGATAAAGTGGAAGTTACAGATTGAAATGAAATCCCCAGTAAAATCTATGTTCTGATACTCAGTATTCATTCACTAAATGAACGGCGACTTGTTAGATATATGTATTGAACATTGAAAAGCAGATGCATTACAAATCCACGTATATGTATCATATCTTCGCTTTTGTTTGATGAATTCGTCATAATTAATTCACAAAATATTTTAGGTATTTGTTTGACTATTGTCTTGTTAAACTATCCTCGACAGTACTCAAACTTCTATGATCAAATTATAGTCTGCTTAAATTTGGCATTACTGTAATAATCTACTAGTAAGTTAAGTATTAGTGTAGATCCTAACAAAATCTGTAAACATATTAACATTTATATCGTTCGTAGTCATAACAACGCATAGGTTACTTTAGTATTTTTTTAAATATATATTTTTATAAGGTGTCTATCTGTTCCCTGTCAAAATATATATCTAATGGTAAAACAATCAAATTGTTATTGAAATGATGAACCAATCAATAAAAACTCAACAATCTCCAAAGTCCTATATTGAATGATTATTCTATATTAAGTAGGTATGATATACTTTTCTTGTTAAAGTAGATGTGTAACATGAAGTAGTTTATTGTCTAAAAGTTTGAAATATATCTTGAAGAATACTATATTACTGGCATTTAAGCATATAGAAATTTTAAACTTCTTTTAGTGCTTAATAAAATAAAATTGAAATTTTGTGGTAAGGTCATGATGTATGATTGTTTCTACTAATGTAACTTCAGTGAGTCAGTCAGTTACAACGTAGGACCAGGCACATACATGCATCGGTACTTCACTCCCTAACTTTAGTTCAAGTGTTGACGCAGGACAGTCCTGAAGCAACAACTTGCATGTAGAGGGAGAGAAACGCATCCGAAACATCCCGGTATTGTTTTTCAGTGCTTTTAAAAGACTGCATTTTATCAGCGTCTTCACCAAACAGGACTATATCATCTGCGTATTTTAAGTCGATAAGTGGACCTCCTGATAGGAGATCAATCCCCGAGAATTCAGTCGAAGAGAGCGTTATTTCCATCAATATGTCTCTGATGAAGTTAAACAAAAATGGAGAAAGTGTACAGCCTTGATGGATACCACAATGTTAATAATCGACTAATTTTTATCCTATCACTTTTATGGAAAGTGTTTTAATGATCAAAGTAGCCAAAATATAAACATTGCCAATTGGTCAATTTGAGAATAAATAAGATTTACTGTATGTGTATCACTTGGACCGGTTTCGAGCAGTGTCATCCAACCAACTGGTTACGATAATCGTTCAGACCCAGACCAAATAGTTCGCACCTATCAACATGGCTCCACCCAGTAGTCAGTGACTTCGTGAACTGACACTAAGTGTTGATTTGGCCAGCCCAACTTTTTTCCAACCGGTTCCCATACTCGCCAGCATCGTGCTTTTAGGTTGGTGGTTATTAAGTAAAATTCTTAGTTGTCTCAGTCGATGTGGATCCACAGGCTTATGGAGTTTGCTATATTTTTCCAGATTTGTATTTATATCCGACATTTCTCACTGAGTAACCTCAACACACGACAGAAATGATTCGAAGATAGTTAAGACCGTATACTTTCAGCCTATACATATCTTCTACTTTCGTAGACCATATATTCTAATAATATAAAACAATATGGAGCGGACTGCTCATAAATTAGTTTAGCAGTGTACACTAAGCAATCGCTTTCACTGGCGAGATTGAGTTTGATAATAAACTGGAGTTCCTTGACATCTCATTAGATAGATAAGGTGATGGCTCGTTAAACAGAAGAGGGTACAGAAACATCTCCTATGCTTGCAAATACACACACTTCTATAGATGTACACCCATCCGCTGCAACAGAAATCTGGTCAGATGATTTACAAGCAAAGCAAAAACAATCTGCTCAGAGGATTCCATAAGAATCTGTTAGGGTTTATCAACAACATGCTAGCAGAAGTAAGCTACACGAAAAGTTCTCAAAGAAGTAATTTTAGACACGAAATGATAAATTAGAAATATGGACCGCTCTTAGGAAACCCCCAATTCCTAAGATTTTAATTTATCGTGGATGTGGATGGCGACTGGCGGGTGAATGACTAAATATCTCCTAATTTGAATTGGAAAGAGCTAGAGAGAAACAAGGTGCAGCACTATATTGACACACCTAGTTGACAGTGGTAATATTTTAAATAAAGTGAAACTGTTCCGGATGAATTATCGTATTTATTCGTCGTTTCCCAATCGGGTCCGATCCCGTCTTATAAAAAAAGCAGAAGCTAAATGGATACGAACCTATAATCATAGTTTATGTTTTTGGAGGATTCTCGTGATACCCCTGTCTCCTCATTGGCCAGACGTGACTCAATTAAAGACTACATTAATTTTTTCACATACTATGTTAGGATAGGACATATATTATGGAAGTCATCAAATTGTATCACAAGGCAAGTCCTAATGTGAAATCCTGAAGGGAAAGAGAAAAGAGGAAGACCAAGGAACGCGTTGCGTCCGGGATTGTAAGCAGGTATCAAAAGAATCAATAGTAACTGCAAACAACTGCAAAGAATTATCTAGGACAGAGTTCGGTGGAAATGCTATTGGGTGGCTTATACTCCTCCACGAGAGGTAATAGGCGTATATAAGTAGGCATGTAATGTTTATTTGTCGTTCTTCATCGCTTTCTGTTTATATTGTTCACCATTTGATTATATGCACACCTTTTATAACGTAAATTTAAACAATTTTAAAGTCTATTTATTCAAGTCAAACTAGTAATTTTATTCGTTGATTATTACTACTTCTAGTACATTTGCCTATTCACTACAAATTTTTGGCTGTGTCATCTAATTCATTGTGATCACTTACTCGGATATTAGCTTAATTAATTCAATATTTTAATATACTCACACAAATGTTAACATATATTCGAGTAAAGCCAAATGACGATCTAAACAAAAAGAATATTGTTCACTTAAATTTGTTTTAATTAACTGTATGAGAATTTTTGACATTTTAAATTACATGGGGACACTATAAAATAAATTATTCGTTAAATTTTTTATGTAGTAAGCTATAGGTGTGAAATTAAATTTTTCTCCAATGTGAACAGATTGCTTCCAAGGAAGAAATGAACTCTTGTCCCTGGTTTACTATGCTAATGCTCTGTCAAACAGACTACAAAGGCCCTATGATAGTAACTAAATTATATCATTAGCTAGTCATTTTCTAGTCTAGGTTATAGGTTAAAACCACCAATTTTCGATTCTGTATATAATATTTATCAAAGTTGTGGAGTACAATTTTACGGTTACAACATTAAACACTGTTTCATACTATTTACTTTCAGATAATAGATAGTATCGTTGGTCGTAACATTAATAATATGTGGTCAACTACATGAACGTGTGATAGAATTCTCTTTTTCAAAAAACACCAAAACACGCGGAACTATACAAAAAATACTTACTTTGGCCTGCTGAAGTAGATTTTGTGCAACTTCCATAGAACTCCAATCCCATGTTGCTTTTAATCGTCTATTGTCTGAATATCCAGGCAAAACTTTGAAATAAGACAATAAACTATATCCGTCATCTGCTTTTTCACTCAGATTTTTTGATTTGATTGGCATTTGTATGACTGAATAATAATTATAGAGTTAACGGTTTTGCTGATGATGGAAATTCAATTATAATTCGTGATATGGTTTCTGTTTCCTTTTTCATCCTACAATCGGCAATAACTCTGCGCAATGTAAAGTAGAAATAAGTGATTGCTGTTAGGGGTTTGTAAAAACTATTGAATTTACTAGTTTACACTATACGCTAATCTTCATCAAACAACCACTGGATACGAGAAAGTACTGGATACCTGTCTCTTTCGAATGTGAAACTCCCTAGCAGAGTAAATCAAGTGGTCAAAAGATTAGGCACTCGCAGGGGTACTTGAATGTCTTGGGTTCGATCTCCCATTATAAATTCCAAACACTGAAGAGTCCCATACTAGAAAGGAATACTTGTCCAGTGCTTCCACGTTTTTGCAATGGTCATTTAGCTAAGATCAGTCCATGATGTAAACTGTAGAAATAAATGAACTGAATATTAAGAATTTTTCCAATTTATGAAAGCAAACATTTCCCAATCTTCATACTATTTTATGGGTCAGGTTGTTATCGGATCTTGAATTCATCGAGGAATATGATAAAAAAATATTCTAGTCTTGATGTATAGATTCTGTTTTGTAGAATATTTAACTAGACTGAATACTGAATATTGTTTATTTTCATTACCGCTTATTAAGAAACTAAATCAACAAAGCAGAAACAAATCTGTTTGATAACCAACTTTCTATTAACTAATCAACAGCTTATATTACTTGATCACTGAGCAATGAATAATGTCATATTTATCTAGCTTTTTGATTCTGATTGAATTCTGTCAATCAAGTCGGAATTTGATCATTACTCTAAGCGATTCAAAATCACACCCGCTATATTTTGATATTACATGGTTGAAGGTAGTCTTTTGGAAACTCAGGAACTTGGTTCTGTACTGGTCACCATTCATCAGCAAACAGGATTTACAAATATGCTTGATGCATGTTTGAATTCCACAAAGTACACCCGTTCCCCCAAGATTGCAGATATGTCTTATTGACGAATGTCAACGATCAGGAAGTTTAAGTCCTGAATTTTCTCCTGATTACCCCCGACCACTTAACATTCATTTACTCAGCTAACTGAACTGTATCAAACACGTTTACAATGTTCCCACAAACTTCAGTGAAATGACATTTTAATATGCTGTAGATAAAATTAAATCGTTGAAAGTATCGGGCAAGAAGTGATGGACATTGATACACTAGGTAATTATCACAGTGATAGACTATCTGTGGTCTAGGTTTACATCTGCTCAGATTCCTATGGGAGCACTACATTCTGGTGCAAGTAATCTTGGAGAAGGGAACACTAATTTTACTGTGGTTACAGATACACTTTACAGTTGAACAAAACATGCCTTCTTGCAAGTAATGGAAGAAGTTAGTAAATGCCTGGTCGAAAAATAGCACACTTCACCTTGTTCCACGGCCGTTCATTCCGCGTGCTAAGGCTTTCAAAGTACAAAGCCAACACATCACTATGTACTTAGAAAACGATTATCTTTAAATGATCTGCAATAATTGTCCCTTAGGCTCTCTTATCAGGCTCACATGTTGCCAAGACTACTAGTGAAGTTTACTTTCAATAATATAGGCAATCGTGTATGAGCAACCGCCCTCATACCTCTAATAGAATTACAGGGAAACCTAGTTACAGATCAGTTTCATCAAGGTTTTTCAGGGTAACAACAAAGAAAATATGTTTGTGCAAACCACCCCCAGGAGTTCTAGAGTCTATATATAATGATAAAATAATTTTTTTTTGAAAAAATGAATATTCTGAGGATGAGAGAAAATTTTATTACAAAATTTTAGCCACAGTTTAGCATTTATTGAAAGTTGAAATAAAATTGATTAGAAAAACGCATGATCCACTTATGTTAGCTGAAATAATTTGGACATTTAAAAACGAAATGAAATTAGGCTAGTATAGTTTGATGAATCTTTGACAATTTCCCTACATCTATATAAAATTAGATTATCCTCTTAAAATACTTTAATTTTTATTTTTATTTCTCAAAATCTTTTTCCCATTTAATAAGTTTTATCCTCATTTGGACCATTTCCTTGCTTATTCACTTCCTAAAATGAAAACAGAATGTTGATCAACTATAGAAAATGAGAAGAAATATTTCTTTCTCTAAGATTATTCTCGGTTATTTTTGGGTATAAAATAGGGTTGTAATCAATACTTCAATATAGTAGGATTAGGGTCATTGATAAATTAGACTTGGATGGTATGTAGAAAAAAAAATGACAGACAGCAATCCAGATTATTTCATTGGTTATTCAGTTAAAGTATCTATCCACGTATCTTAATCAACCATATAAATAATTTAATGTCAATCATTTTTATGAAACGGATTATTGTTATATACCTGAATAATTTTAGGATTATAGAAAAGAAATGCTGGGTTATTGAGGAAATATGGATATATAAGTACAATTTATTCAGGAATAAAGTTTGATAAATGGATAGCCGTTGTGTATATGTTTGTGAAACTTAACCTTTTAAGTATGAGCTGCATGATATAAGAGGACGTAGTCCATTTTGTGTTTTAAAGTTAGAAACTAAACATTAGAATATTAGGGGATCAGAGACAGACAGAATTCAGCCTGGAAATTAGCTACATATCGACATAGTCAGCACTTCCTAGCAAATATATAATGCCATCTGGTTGGTAGGCTCCGAGCAACACTTAATGATTAGACAAATTCTACATTGAATACTAGTGATCAATCAGTATGAGCAGCACAGTCCTATAAGAAGTCATTATTTCCCACAGTAGTGTAGAGGTGACATTTCTAACTGAGATAGATGACTTGGGTCCGAGCCTTGTGTGGGTCATAAGTTTTCACAAGACCACAGATCGGCGTTGCAGTGGAACCACCTGCTTCTTACACCCCTAGTTAGAGGTCATGGTCATACAAAATATGCATTGTTAAAGAGTTCTAAACTAAGACGAAATGACAGTCTAGTGCTTCTTAGCTTACGCCCCAAAGTTAGTCAGTGTCAAGACGAAATTACTTCCGTTCAGTAATAAGTAGTATAGGTAAACAGAGTATCACCTTTTGATTAGTTTCCATATGAATTCTGTGGTAAACTGGGATTATATGATTAAAGTTAATATTTCCAATCAACATAACTACATATTGTTTATGGATTTTAACTTTTGGATTACATTCAGAAACTAGAAAACAAGTGCAGTACAATAAATTCATATTATATTTCATGTATTGTTATAATTTATAAGTTGATTTCAGTATTTCATATTATTGAACTCAGTAGTTTAATTCCGCTCAAACTAATAGCTTTAATATGTCCTTACCAGGTTGAATCATAAACTGATATTAGTTAGGTAACCTTTGAAAACCAGGAAGCACTGGACATCTATTTCGTCCCAGTATATGGACTCCTGTGAGGTATAGTCACGACTTCACTGAAAACTCAACTCAGTGTTCGGGCATCACGGCGAACGCTGAGTCGTCAGAATATATAACTTCATTCAGTATTGAGGGAAGATTTTCTAATGTTATTAGTGGTTAAATGCCTTACACTAGACACTTGAAATCCACTCATCACGGCTTTTTACTGCAGGAAGACATATAAACGATTGGAAGCCAACTTAATGATCTAGAGGTTAACCGCTCACGGTAAGACCTGAATATCATGTGTTCCATCATCGATGAGATGGTGAGTGTGAACCTCTAAAAATTCTCATTCAAAGACGAAAGAGCTGTCCAGCACTTTCTGGTTTTCAATGTTGTTTAACTAAAATTCATTCGTAATACGAACTATAAACTTCATCACTGAACAAACCACCATACAGAAATATATGTAATGAATAAATAAACTCATTTAACTCTGAATAAGATAGGATTTTGATCATAATAATCTAAAATACTTCAATAGATTTTTTTTACGAAGTGAATGTCAGTCCAATATGACCAGGATAAGCATGGAAGTTGTTTTAAAGTTATTTCAAAGAATTAAAGAGATAAACGAAATTATAATCGGAATTTTATTGAGATTTTTAACTTGAAGAAAGTCTACATCACGGACTAAGCTAGAAAATCATTTAGGACCAAGCGGCCAGAAACGTTTCTTACGTCCTAGCGCGGGATTCATCGACAATACTAAACCATGACTCCACATGAGACCAAACGTAAGCAATCCAAACCTATTAGTAAGTACATTGCATTTGAACTCCATGAGTTGTCATCCGATCATCTGACCCATCAACATACTCCCGATACTGAGTAATCATTAACCACTGGGATCGGTGAAGCCCGTTTCACTCCCATCTTTGAACTTCGTTGTCTGTGGATTCCCATTAAAATATCAAAAGTTCTAAAAGTTAATTGCTAATTAGAAGACAGGTTGTATTGTTAGTTGAGTCACAGGTATATATTGCTAAGAAATCACAGACCAGATAGAATAACATATCTGTTTTTATGGTTGTCTAAATCTATGCTATAAATTGTCTCAGATTTGAAGATCATTTATAATTAATTGCATTATTGAAAGTAACAGAATAGTTAACAAGAAGAGTTAATGTGTTTAAGTCATTGAATGTGCAAGAATAAGAGATGGAATCGTCAAGTAACCGAAAATGTTTGACGTTAGGTTAAAGTATGACAAAAATGTGATAACATAGTTCAAATAATCTGTTTGTATCTAACATAAGACTATCTTACCGAAAACTTTGATAAACACAAAGAAAAAAGCTATACTTCAACACATAATAATTTATTTACATAAAACCTAAATTTATGTTGGAGTAAAATGAATACGAATACAAAATTTGTCCTCCTGTTAGTTATATTTTGGAAATAAGGTATAAGTCTGCTTTCGTCCTATCAATATTCGTTCTTGCTATCTTTAAGTTAATAAAGGGAACTATGTGTATGAAATTTATCAGCTTGATGCATCATAGTAAGATTATACTTGGCTGAAGAACCAATCAGGTGTAAAATAGTAGATATTGGATATTTCTCTTATGAAATTCAAGACGCACAAACTGATGCCTTAAATCCCATTGGGAGGTAAGCAGGACAACGCGAAGAAGAGCTCAAGTTATTTTGTTCTATATTATTTTATGATAGTTCTTTTTTGAATAAAAATTCTGATGGTATTTCCCTAGCTAGTATTTGCACAATGACATTTGTTGTCATCTGATTGACTGTCGTCATTGTTAGTGTGCTAATTTTGTTGCGTGGTCCAAGGTCATCAAGTGTTCCTATATAGACAGAGTTTTTGTATTTCAATTTTGAATTCTTTTCGAAATATAAAGCTATTCCTAAAAATCCCATCTTCTCTGTCTTATAATAGCGTGTGAATCATTAACGTTAAAGTGTCGTTGAGCTCCAGTTATCGTTTTTCCAAGATCATCATAGGACTTGTTCCTATTAAAATCAGCTAAGTTGTTCCGCAGTCAGCTGTTACCAGAGCCTCGTACCTAAACCAATGTTGAGTTATAACAGACTTCACTCTCTGAAGACCATTTTATAAAACGTTGCATAATGTCAGTAAACTACACTTGGACCACCATATAGCTGGAGGTAATGGCGAAATATTTTCGAACTTAGATATTGATAAAATCCAAAAAGATTGTACGGATATATATTATTTTGGATTCGTGATCCAAATGCATTTAACAATCTGAATTATCAAAGCATTTTCATAAAAAAAGAAACTGATTATAGACCGAAAAAATCAAAACATCGAAATCCATTGAATTCAAAATTCATCACATCTGCATATCTACTAGAGTTATCCGGCGGTAATTTCTGCCGTAAATGAGGTGGGTTGTATCCAGCAACTTCTATTCATTTATTTGGTAGATGACATGTAATAAAATATTGAAATCATGAACCGATCAATATTAGACCATCATTTAATACCTGGAGGCACTGGACGGCCATCTCGTTTTAGTATGAAACTCCTCGGTTGTGGTCTAATATTGCTAGGTTCATAATTTTAGTGAAATCTAACAATCCCTTCAACCCTATACTGATAATTATTATGTTCTCAGTAATAACTGACTTCGCGAAGGAATTCTTTGAGTTCTGATGAGAAGCCGTGATCTGTGAAGTACAGCCATGTTGGGTGTGATGCAGCTACTCACCGGAGACAGTAGATGGTCGCTTAATATCATGGATTGATCGAAACTAGACATTAACACCGTCGGATGCTGGCTCAGTGGTTTAGAGGTTAAGGGTTCGCGTATGGGAACAAATATGCTGGGTTCCATTCCCGCATGCGAGAAGTCCCACAACAGGACGAAACGGCCGTCCAATGCTCCCACGTTTTCAATAGTGGTCTAACATTGATCGATTCAAGATTGCAATGAAGTTCATCCAGAACCCTATACTGATCATTTTCAAATATTGTTTTCATTCTAGGTAGTCATCTTTATGATAAATCTGTTGTTTAAGCAACATTTGAGAGCTTTGCCACATTATGTATGTCCGTAACAGGGTTGTATTTCATAGAGACCGTTGTAAGCTGGAGATCCTGTCGGTTATGGGAAATTTGAGAATTTCCGGATGAAATAACAATTCAGTGTAGATTTCATTTAAAAATGTTCTGTTTGCTTGCGATATAGATCTATCTGTTTACTGCTTGTTGATTTTCAGTTACATAAATGGATAAAAGTTTTACATGAGTAACTATATATATTCAGAGATTATCCAATTCTCATTGATTTTCGCTAAATACTGATTACTGATACCAGTAGAAACGTACAAAACCTATTTCTAGGTTATTCATATTGATTTTCAATTCATAAATTCAAACTAGTCATTTGCCCAGTACTAATAATATGAACACTAACTGAAAACGGAATTCTCCTTTCCAAAATGACTCAGCGTACATTATACTAAAATCAATATCACCATGAGAACATTAAGAATTATTGCATTGGTTCGATAAAAAGTATGTATGGCTTTACAGAGAGACAAAAACGTTCTATAAATTAGCGAAACCCAGAAAAATAAATTGTCGTTAACATGTTTGTCTATTTTTCAACGATTATTCAATAATAAGTAATTTGAGAATACCTCTGAACAGGAGTTAGAACAAACTGTCCAATTACAAAGTTAATTATGTAAATATTAAGGGAGTATGGTGTGTACATGTGAAGAGAACAATATCATAATCTATATAAATAACATTTAATTTTGAAGTGAATGGCAGAATTTTGTACGGGTTACATTGCCTGAAACTATAATATTTTGCCGAATGGTGTACTCTCAGAAAACGTCTGTCAGAGATGTAAAATTTGAGAGTTAATTGAACGACACAGGTTTTGAATATTTGTTGGATGGTTACTGTTGTGACTTTATGACCGCTAGTTATCACGTAATCTACTCGCCAATCAATATACGACTTATTCGCTCTTGTACTGTACTAAACCAATGACATTCGACCGGTCTGATCAACCTAGTGTCCATTGGTCCTTTGTTCGCCTAGCCCGTCCAGTTGAGTCCAGAATGCCAATAACAGCTTCCACTATGCGAATCATTTATTTCAGACATACTGGGTTTATATATCAACCAAACAGAACGCAACGCACCAAAAAATAGGAAATAACATTCATACACAATAAAGCCAAAAAGTAGCTGTGAACGTGGGAGACGGTAATTAATAAACTGAGTATAACATAAGAACAGTAAATCGTACAATAATAATATATAAGTCAAAATGAAGCTTATAATAAGGGGAATATAGATATACACAATCTAATTACTGAATAGTTAAACCATAAGAATATATAGATAATACTAGTCCACTAATAGGTCTCAGAAGCTACTCATAATTTAATCTTTACTAGGATGTAACAGTTGTGTCAAGTAAGTTAGAGACTACACATACATATTGACTTCTCTCGACGTAATTTGCTAGGTTCTGGCGTTTTTATATCATGATATCAAAAATCCTGAAATATTTACGACATTACTTCGGTGTACATGTAAGAACTCATTAGAAATTTCGAATCCTTTTACAACTTAATCCGTGAATGATCAACTTGGCATTATTCTATGTTGTTCATAAGATTTATAAGATTACCTGGATTGCTTCATCTAGTATAAACGATATAAGCCATAGCTTTTCGTACTAAATGATTGGAGTTAGTCAATAGGGAACCCTGAGCCTTGGTTTCATTCAATTTAACCCTAGTTAGCATTGCGTATTGCAGTAGTGACAGAATTGATAATCTTGATGGGATACGAACCTTTACTAACCAGGTTTCTAGTCTGAAACAATAACAATGAGCCACTTAACTTACAACCAACCACCTGCGAAACCGAGATACATACACTGGTTGATCTAAGAGTAGCGAAAACATCTCAGAATGTGAAACTAGCTCAGTATCAACTAGAACAACATTTTGATCCACAGTTGAATACCTACTACCTTCAACCGCCCAACATCAACCATCTAATGTCAATATATAGTCCAGGTGATATCAGCCACTTCAAATAGTCACTCTGATGCAACTTGGTTGATAGAATTTGACCAACATTAAGGACTAGGAAACAATAATACCTTTGTCACTACTCAGTGATCAATCAATCAATATATATGACTTTACAATTACATGTACATTATTTTTGTGAAATCATAATCTATTCAACTGTCGAGTAGATTATCATTCTATCAGTAACATAGCCAAATCACTTGACTTTATGCTGGATATCCGGTTATTATTGTCTACATATCAGATAGGTGTATTGATTACAATAATATTCACTTACACACATATGTACACATTGAATATACTTCAACTGAATATAGGTCGTCCAAAAATTACCTGAAACTAAGCAGCTCCAATCATTCTTACTGTTAAACGAAAAAGATGATAATATTAGTGATAGTTTTCATGTGAATTGTATGCATATTTAGTTTTGAGAAAACTGATCTTGTCTGTACTTAAGAGTATACATAAGAATGCAAATATAAAGTACACAAACAGCGGATGCACTCGTCCGACGACTCATCAAACTAGGGGTGTATGGCCGTCCAGTGTTCCCATATTTTCAATGGTACCTCCACTGAATTTAATTAGGGATTAATACAACCCACAAACATAATTATTGTTTACAATAATTAATTTACGACTATCTCATAGTATCAAGTTAAATTCAGTGCCTACAATCCCTTGAAGTGAACTACTTGTACATTTCAACGTAAATCACCATTTAGAATTTCCAAGTTGTAGATAATGGGTAAAATACTTAACCATAAATCGTGATCTATTTTGTTATACTGCTCAATTCATTACGTTTGTTTCCCAACCGACCGTTGCTGCTACCTTGACGTGGTGGTCGGGCTTGTCTATCGTGACGAACCAATCGAGCTACACTGGCTGGAACAATCGTTCCCCAAGGTCCTACCATGTCAGGCAGGTCAGTTGAAGAACGGTAAGACTAAAAGCAGCAAACCCAAGTTCCGATGGTGAAGGTACTGCTGACCGTACAGAGGTGTGACAGCAGTAAGGTGTTTCCTTCAGAGATGCTGCCATCCCACAAGAAAGAGTGGGGTTAGAAAACGTGGACCCTAAAAATGCACACCTCACTTTATCCCACGGATTTCCGTCTCCGGTGGTAAGGTCTGAACAAGTACGAAGCTAACGCAAAAATTACTCACAAAAAGGTCATGAGTGACTGGCTTGAAGCAGTTGTCCCATGGATATTACGATCACGCTTTCAGGTCATTAAAACCAACTCTAACCCAATTTCCTTTTCAGATACCTCTAGAACAACCCTTCCAAGGTGTGAGCAACTGTGAAGTGAAAACTGCCCTCATAACTCAAACAACACTCAAGACCACTGGTTGGTTTCCAAGTTTATATTGGGAAATTTAAGCAGTCGGAAAGAGAAGACGACTTCATTGAAATAACTAATTAAATTTGTGCATGAAATATGCAAGCAAGGATGATACTATTTCGTAAATGTAATAATACAAATGACTCAGCTTCTTGAACAAATACTCAGTATAAAACTCAATGAAATACATTATTTGACTGCTGCTTAGACAGTTTATGTTCAGAACATAACATCACAAACATCGAGTGCTGTTTATATGAAGATGAAACAGTCAACATAAATTTAGTACACATTCTGTAAATAACCTATATGTTTCACATCACGAATTATTCGTAAAAATACTCTAAGAATTCTAAACACAGTGCAGGAAACATGTCTTTCAGAAGCAAATTCAAGTGATAACCTTGTGTTGCGCTATAGACAGTTGAATTTCAACAAACATTGCTGATTACCACACAAATATGCAGCATAAGGCACACTTGGGATTCTATGTGATCAGATATTGTGTTACGCGACAATGGTATGTGAACCAATAAGGTACTTTTACTTGCTAGTAGATACGAAGATTATCATTCACATAACTAGATTTCAGTTTAATAAACCAACGTACGATCATAAAAAGGTTAAGAATCATAAGTGCGCACTATTGATGAGTCTCAAACTAGGCTAGAACAATTGTCCAGTGGTCCCCAATTTTCGTTCGTTCTACAAATAATGTCAATCCGTGACAAAGACGATCTTCAAATTTTCATCATTTTCATAGCATACGTCACGAAGTTATTTTCGTTGGACAGTCATCGAAAGCCAGGAAATACTAAGCCCCCAAATGCCCTGGTATGGCCGAGAGTGGGGAGAGTCCGCTCTCCCTCTCGAAATGCTCTCACATGGCCACGCGTATACAGCCTCTGCCAGGGAAGTCCTACTCACTGCCTTCTCGTGGCGGGGGTGTTGTTTACGAAAATGAGAGGACGAAAAGCGAATGTCCGGCGCTTTAACCGGATTCCAAACCAATGGTGCACATGGGCTCCAGTATCCTGCGGGAACAAATGGCGTATGAACCAATCGTTGGTCACCGGCCACCATGGGACTGCATCTCCTTACGATGCT